GCGGCGGCGAGGGTGAGGCGGGGGAAGAGAAAAGAAGGGGAAGAGGGGAAGAGGTTGCAGGGGGGGCGGCGAAGCTGCGCACGCAGCGCGTGTGCCCCGGCGAGCGCATAAACACACACACACGCACGCACGCAGGCAGGCAGGCTCGAAGGAAATGACGACGAGCAAAACGGCAAAGAAAAAAAAAGAAAAACGAACAGCGAACAACGAATGAAAGTTAAGGAATACGCAAAGAAGGGGATAAATTCTCTGTTGGGTGCAAGAAGAAAGAGAGAGTGTGTGCGAAAAGCGTGTGCGTATGCGGGGCAACAGGAGGGCACTGCTTGTAAGAAGACACACGCAGAAAATTAAAAAAAAAACGAAACAAAAAAAAACTCGCTGGGTAGTCATGATGCACCACCACCATCACCAGCCCCGGCTGCCACCGCAGCCCACGCACGGGGCTGCAGCAGTGGACGGTCGCACAAGACACGCGTTTAGCACCGTCGTTATCTGCAAACACAACGCCCCGAGGCACGTGGCAAGCGCCACGTAATTCACGCACCGCGCCTGCCCCGCCAATGCCCCGCCCGCGTTGCTCGCCTGCAGGCGGGCGCCAAGCAGCACCGCGGTGAGGCCCGCCGCGAGCGCCACGCAGAGAGAGAGAAGCGTCGCAAACAAGAGGGCCGGCACCACCACCACCGACGGCGCCCCCGCCCCCGCGGAGGCCAAAGAGCGCATAACCCCCGCCAGCGTCAGCGCAAGCGCGGCCCCGCAGAGAATGGCGCTCGCGGCAAACATCGGCAGCGTCGCGGGGGCGGTAGAAGCGGACGGCGCCGTCATGGATATCAGCCCCAGAAGCGCCGCCGCCGCCACCGCCGTCAACGGGCCGAACCCGCAGAAGCGCACAAACGGCCCGAGGGAGGGTAAGAGAAACAGCGGCAGCGCAACCAGCACGGTGAGCGAAAAGAGGTACGCAAACAGCGGAGGGGCGGCGGCCCCAGCGGGCAGCAAGGAGAACTGGGGCCCGGCCTCAGTGAGAAGCAGCAGCACCGCCAGAAGGCAGCCGCAGGCGAGGCAGCGAAGCACAAAACGTACGTCGATGCTCCGCAGGATGACGAAAATTTTGCGTGCGTCACGTACGGCGTCAAGCGTGGGCCGCGCCTCGTCAGACTCGGCGGGCGAGACCAGCGCACAGACGGCAAGCGCAAACACGGGCCCGGTAGAGGTCAGGTACAGAAAGACACGCAGCGCCTCCGCCGCCCCGCCGCTGCGAAGACGTGCGACGGCGGAAAAGATGAAAAGCCCCGCGGCGCCGCTCAGAAACCAGAGGTGCACGGCAACAAACAGGAGTGAGACGGTGCCAAGGAGGGCGCCCATCTCGGCACAGTTGACGCACAGCACCGCGACCACAGAAGCGGCGAGCCCCACTGCATGTAGTAACTGAGACAACAGAAGCAGCACAAGGCTGCCGGAGGAATACCCATGCAACAGGCAGAGTCCACTGCCAACTGTCGTGGTCGTCGCTGCAAGAAGCACGCCGTGCCGCAGAAGACGACCACCACGGCATAAAATCGCAGTGAACGGTGTGGTGACACAAAATGCAGCTGCGTCAGCAAATAAAAGTGTAAACTTCATGACACTTCGCCGCGGGGCAGAGCTCTCAGCGTTGGAAAAGAGATCCAGACCGGCAAAGAGACCGCTGTGCGCCATAGATGGAAAAAAGAGGCCCACCGCAAGAATACAGAAGAGAGCCTGCCGCATCATTGCTCGCAACCACGCCTGCGGCTTCACACCGGTCGTCAACAACCCCTCCGCCTCCCATGCCGCATCCATGGCAGGGTCAGGCACGGAATCGTAGGAGGGCTTAATGACCGGCATTTCGCCTTCGTAGAGGGGAAGCGAGGCCGTGGCGGGGGCCTCCTCGCCGACCACGGCCTCGCTGGGTGAGGCGACACCCAAGCCGCCCCGCGCGTTAACGTGGGTCGAGGAGTCGGCGGCGCCAGCCTGCACGCCCTGCGTCATCGTCCCGTACGACGGCACCACGTGGCTGCTCCGGCGCTGCGCCTGCCCCCGCGCCTCTTCGACGCCCCCGTGTGGGCCTCCCGAGCGCGATCTGACGTGCATGGCGAGGCGTGGGCCCGACACGGACAAGTCGGCCGTGCCGGCGGCGGGCACCTTCGCCTCCTCTCGCCGTTCCCCCAAGCCACGCGCTGGCACGGCCCGCAACGCGGAGTCCGCCCTCTCCATGGACGCCCCCGCCGTGCATGACTCCAGCGCAGCGGCATCAACCCCCAGGCGGCCTGCAACTCGGGTGCTTGCACTGTGGCTCTTCCCTGACTCGCACACGCTGCTTGGGGACGACCGTCCGTGGAACGCCCTCATCCTCCTGGCGAGTTCCGTAAACGCCTCATTCTCAATAATGTCGCGCAGCACCGACTCCTCGTTGGCGAGAAGCAGCTTCCAAGTGTTGTCGTTGCCTTCCTCCTCGGCGGCGCGCAGTAACAAATGCCCCACCAAAGAGTCGATGGATTGCGACGGCGTGCTCACGTCGGTCCAGCGGGCCGAGCACGGGGCCTGCTCATCGAGGACATCGGAGGCAACAAACGTTTGCGACGACAACTGTCGCGGCTCACTGGCGCTCGGAGTATCCGCCAGGCACTCACGGGGCGTGTGGGACGCCGTCGGGGGCTTTCGCGGGTCCTTCGCCGCCATCTCCGGCCCTTTTTCCTCCCTGCGCCTGCCGCGCGCCCCACGCCCCGCACCCTCCCCCACCTGCAGCGGACTTGCCCCCTGCTTCTCTCCGGCGCCCTTTTTTCCCTCCCCTTCGCGCTCGCGCTCCCTCTTTGCCTTCATCACTCACCGCAGCCCTCCGCCTGCCTTGCTTCCTTGACGGCCGTCAGGCTAAAAGGCAAAAGGGGAAGAAACGCGTCAGAGAGCGCGCAACCAAGGCAGACCACGGCGCCTGACAGATGCCGGGGGACGCACCCTCACAACCACAGCGCTGGCCGCGTGCGGCACGCCGCCCTGCGCAGCGGCACACGAAGGTGTGGGGGCGCTCCGCGCCGTTATGAAACGCAGAAAAATTTTTTGAGCAGGGGCGTCGTGGCAGTATACGCGGCAGCAGTCAGTATGGAAGCCGCAGGAAGAGGCCGCCCCACGCACGCGCGCGTGCAGAAACGCGCCATGAGCGTCAACTGGGCGGTGGTGGACGATGCCTAAGGAAAGAAGGACAAAAAAAAACAACACACACACGCACACAAAAGCGTCCAAACAAAAACGAAACAGAACAAAAAAAAAAGACCCTCGCACCACAGCACGTATTCAAGAAGAAAGAAAAGGAAAGCAATAATAAAAAGCAAGAGTAAAACAGGAAAACAGCAAAAGTAGGAGAACCAAAAAGGGAACAAAACAATCCATTCACTGCACAGCAAGCTGCCTAACCGTGAGCTGCCGCTTTCTTTCCATTCGTTTTCGTTGTTGTTGTTGTTTTTTCTTCGTTTTAACGATGATCGTAAAACTTCTTCTTCACGGCGAAGAACCCTCCTCCCTCCTCCCACACACACACACAGGCTCAGAGTATAGAAAGCCAAATAAACAAACATACATGCATAAGTCCAAGTAATTTCGTCCCCAGCCACCCACACACAACTCCACTACTCCAGTCACACCGGCAGGAAGCAAAGAACACCTGCAGCCAGACGTGTGTACGCATCAACGAAGTAAATCACGCCGCACTGACACAGAAGGCCGCTACACGGTGGGTTAGATAAGACTGTAGCGCTTGTACATGAGAGTCCCAAAGACAGCCCCCAGCAACACACCGCCTGCCATTGAAAAGATGCCAGTTTCCAGCGTCTCAGAGAGAAAACTGGCATTTTCCGCACACCTTGCCGCCAACAAAGGAGCGTGCTCTTGTAGCAAACGCAGCACACACTCCTCGCGACGCTGCTGCAGAACATGCAGTTTCCTCAAATCATTTCCAGCCGCAGACAACACGTCGGAGAGGTGCCGGTGTTTCCCATTTAATTCCTCTACAACCTTGCGCCTCCTCTCCTGTTCCTCCGTTCCATCGACGGCTGCGCACGTCTTCGCGGCGCACGCGAGTCCACGGCCGACGCCGTCAAGCCTCACCTGAAGCAGCTGCTCCCTAGCACCCTGCTCCATGAGCGTCTTATACATCGCCCGCACAAACCTCCTATGCTCCTGCAGCAGCGTCTGCAACTCCTTTTCAACATCCAGACCATCCTCTCCATTCTCACTGCAACCAACATACATTTCAACCAGCTCCCGCTGACGATGCACCAGCCCTGAATCCCGCAACTCCCCTTCCAACTTTGCCAGCAATTCGGCAAACTCTGCCAAGTCTGCCTCAACACGAGACAACTCCACTCTCTCCCGCTCCACCACCGCGCCCCAGTCACTCTCATTCGCTCCTACGTGCGACTTGAACACCAAGCCACCATTACCTTGCGTACATGTAGTAATGAAATCCACCCCACCCGCCCCACCTGACGTCCACAGCCCATCTTCACAATCTAGATCAGACGCTCCCATCTGACAAGCCCGCGCCTGCCCATGAGAATCCGCGAAGATATCATCGCTCTCCTTCAGCCTTCGCTCCAGATCCGCCAAGGCGCCATCGCGCTCCTTCAGCTGGCGCTCCAGCGCCGCCAGGGCATCACAGCGCTCCTTTGACTCGCGCTCCAGCGCCGCCTTGTCCCCGCCGCTCTCCTCCAGCCTTCGCTCCAGCTCCGCCAAGGCGTCATCGCGCTCCTTCAGCTGGCGCTCAGCGCCGCCAGGGCATCACAGCGCTCCTTTGACTCGCGCTCCAGCGCCGCCTTGTCCC